GATTTTAGTGCTTTGGCGGTGCTTCAAGCTCATCAGGTTTCGGATTTTCAGCGTTAGATTTTGTGTGTCCGCTAGTTCGTGATGGGTATACAGATATTATCGAGGTGTGTCGTAATGCCTATGTATCATATTTCATGTAATCTCGTGACTTTTGTGCTTATGGTCGGGTTTTATTGCGGTTGCCTTCGGTCGTGACCACCCATATAATGTTCTTCCAGAGGTGGTGGTATCGTCGATTTTTGGGAAAGGTCATATCATGTCAGTCTTTTTCTTAGGGATGTGTATGTTGTATCCCTTTAGTTACGGTTGGTCTCAACTTACTTGCTGAGCACAACTTATAAGGACCATATTAGCGTAGCTGATAGTTCAACTTTTTGGTTCCCGGTCCGTGGCGTATTTCCTGTGTTTTTTTTTGTCGTTCTGGTCGCAATCAAATTTTAATAAAAAGATACTCATTCAAATTTGTGGTTACCGTACGTTTACTTGAAAAATATTTGCGGTTAGTTTGTCAAATAGTGTATCAATGTTTTATTTCGACTAAAAGGGATAGCAATCATGTGTTTGTAATGGGTCTGTGTGCGTTGATGTGTTCAAGGTAAAAATTATTATTCTTCAGGAGTGCTTTGTGTTTTTAGTTTTTTTAGGGGGAAGAGAGAGAACGCTGGTGTGTGTTTTTGGTGTTTCTATGCTGGAACATAGTCAAGGGGATGAAAATGTGGTGCAAGTGTATGCAGATGGTTTCGGGGTTAAGAAATGTGATTAATCGCATTGATGTTTATACACTCCTAAATGACAGGTGATTATCATGTACTATTGTCACTAACTGTTGTGGATGTATGTGGAATTAATGGTTGTTTCTCGCTTACGGTGTAGGAGGTCGAGATTCTTTTTTCATGGGTGCATTGTACTATTCAGTTGTACTAGTTCCAGATTTCTATGGTCTTCCAGGGTAGGGAATAATACTAGTACTAATTATTCTTACCATGGTTATTTTTAGTCAAGGATGTAGTCTCGCGAAACTGCGAAGTCCATCATGCGCACAGAAGTAGTAATCAATCTACATCACGAAGCGGTCTATGATGTTACACGACCTGCTGTGGTTTATTTTTGTTATGTGGGGGATGTTGGCGAGGTGCGGTTAGTGGCACAAAGCTAGGTTGGCGTGTTGGTATAAAGGATTAGCTGTATTGTTGTGCCTACGTGTGCGTTAGTGTTTTATGTGTCTGATCTTATAACCGCAGGAGTGGGCGCATGTGCAGGGATGTGTGCTTCCTCAGCGGTAATGGGACAAGCAAGAAATAACACGTTTTTTTAATTCCGGCTTGTGTGGTTAGGTATACCACGACAAATTGACAGATCCGTCTTGTTTGTCGAGTGGGTCACATTCCTACTTGTGCCATCAGGTGGGGAATCTATCCACACCATTATCTCTAGGTTCAATAACCTGTGTGTTTTACGCGAAATGTATAGCAATTAAACATCCTGGCATTTGCCAAGAACAACACCCATACCATGGGTAGGTTATCATATTGGGACAATTTGGGGAGTGAGCATGTGCGAGTGCAGGTGCTGAATACGTCTGGGAGGTAGGGATTATTCCAATGTATTCTTGAACAGTTTTGTGTCGTGCGAGTCAGGGGAGTGTGGGGAAGCAAAGGAGAGAACAACGAACAACACAGGAATGGTGGGGCCGGGGTTGGGGGTAGTGCGAGGATTGGGTGGAGGGAGACTTGCTGGTGCAAGGAAGTGGAGAAAGGGGAGAGTAGAGTGTGACAGGTAGTAGGTGGAGGTGATGTATGGACCATGGGATTCAACAAGGAGGAGCAGCGCGGATCGACATATGAAACACTACTAGTGAGGACGAGGGGTGCGTGATCATGCAGACGCTCGCAGCACATGTGCGTTTTTGGTTTATACCACGACTTTGGTCAGGGTTGGCAGTGTTTTGCTAGTTGGTTGTATTGAACCGGTTGCATATCATGCTGTCTACCGGGGACTGCACCCCATCCATTGTATCAAGGCTCAAAAGCCTGTGTATGAAAAAATAATATTGCGTAGCAATAAAACAACCCGGATAATCCGGGAACAGCACAAAGCAACATTATTCAATGCGACTAATCAATAAGCATTTGGCCATTTAACCATCAGAATAGCCGACTGGGTCACCTCATTTACTCACTACATTATAGTCTTGACATCGAGTATGCATCCATTAAGATCCAAGGCAGAAGGAGGAAGGGAATAATGAAGAAAATAACAACGAAAAGGAACAAAAGTGGAACGATCAAAAAAAGGAGGGGGGAGTTGAATAAAAAGGAAGGGAGACAATGAGTAAGGGAGGTAGGGAAGTAGGAACTCGTGCGCGCACTGAACCCGCACGCACAGGTGCAGTTAGCGTACTCGCTGGTGGTAGCGATGTTTCCGAAGGCATAGGCGCTGAGACAGCTTGTCGAGGAGTTGGATTCTCGCTCACATGAGGAAGATCTCTGAGCTCTTTTCGTGTCTAATGTCGGAATTCTGTTGCCTTGATGTGAGGGTTGCGTCCGGGGCCAATGCTGGTTCTGTGTTGCTTGGTAGGGTGTGTTCATTCAATTGCGGGGTTGTTTTTCCCTTTTCTTTTTTCCGGGGTACTTTTTGCCAACTGTTGTGTTATTTGCTCGATCAGGTGGTGCCGTGCATGTCATGTTATTGGGGAATTTTGCGACGGGGCAGGTGATCTGGAGGGGGTGGAATGACATCTGCTGTTCTGAAATTTAGGGGTGGGGGTTTAAAGGGAGTGCTTTCAGGTGCTTCTCTATAGTTCGCATGTGGTTGTGTGTTGTGGCGGGAGGATTCTTTGGCTGGCTGTGGCATCAGCGTTTTTGTCTTTTGTTTCTTAGTTCTGAACTTCTGGCTATGGTGTATTTTTTTTCTTCATTGGGTTCCAGCTTATTTCTGGACTTTCGTCGATGTCAGCAGGCACTGCACTCCGTAGTGAGCGGGTTATCTGTTGTTTCGTGGTTTTGACTTCTTTCATTTTCCTTTGTCTAATTTTTTGGTTCCGCGCCTATGGTGTTTTTTTGTTTTTTTTTTGTCTTTTTGTTTTAAATGAGGTACTGTATTCAGTCGCCGGGGGGTGAATGAGGGCGTGTTTTTTAAAGGTCTGGACTCTGTAGGCTTTGCTACCTGTGTGGGAACGGATACATTCATCCCGGGGGGGGGGGGGGGGGGGGGGGATGCTTTTTTTTTTTTGTCTTTTGTGTAGGGGTAGTTTATTTGTGTGGTTTCTTCCTGTTGTGTGGGTTAGTTACTAGGAGGGGCTGTGGGGGTTTATGGGTGTGTTTGGCATGTCTCGGCCTCGTTTGTGTGTATTTTTTTGGCTGCATTCTGTTTATCCGTGTGTGTGGGTTTTAAAGGGGGTAGCTTGTATGTTTATTTTGTGTGTTGTTGTGCGAGTGTATGTCTGTGTGTATATATCGTGTGTATGTGTCTTCTTTATCTGTGTGTGTGTGTGTGTGTGTGTGTGTGTGTGAGAGAGAGAGAGAGAGAGAGAGAGAGAGAGAGAGAGAGAGGATGATTGTGCTCCCTCTCCTGTTCGTGGCACCTAGCAGAGATGTTGAGCAGGGAGAGGTGCGCTGCGAGCGAAGCCACAGCTGACAGATTATTAATTGAAATGTTCTCCCTCTCTCCTAATTGTTTCTCTACCTTGATCTAATTTCTCACTGATTAACCTGTGAATACATTTGGTGTTCCTGTACTTGTTCTGTGTTGTGAGCTGTTCGATTTGAGTACACATTGGGAATACTTGCATGCTCGACTTGTGAAGTTTCGAATAATTGACAGGCTATGCAGAAAGACTCTCACTCTGACACTCGCTTACACGAGATTAGAAAATAAACATTTGTGATAGGTGATCGATCCTTGGGATGTGACTCGAGATGGAAATCAAATGCAGTGTAAAGAGACCAACTCAATGTGTTGAAATTATAGATGATAAACTCAGAATAATCAAGGAAGCCATACCATTAGCATGGATTGCAGCACTACAAAGGGGACTGCATGGATTGCAGCACTAAAAAGGGGACTGCATGGATTGCAGCACTACAAAGGGGACTGGATGGAAATCAAATATAGGTGATCCCATTAGCAAGGATTGCAGCACTATAAAGGGGACTGCAAGTTGCTGCTGGTGATTGGGTGATGCAATTCCCATCCCTCCGAGTTCCAATGGCAGTTCTCTGAGGTTCAGGAAGATCATGTCTACCAAGAGCCTGACAAGTCTAAACTAGGACGGAAGGAGGAGCTGAACCCGGACACGCCCTGTGGTCACTTTGATGAGGACCAGGCTATTGGAGTACCACAAATAAGGAATATTTGGTTGTGGAGCTGGTATCCCTCTCTGTCAACATCCTTCAGAGATACTGGTGGTTAAATGGCAAGGATATCAGCATGCAGTGGATAAGAATGCAGCAGCATGGATGTGCAAGGAAGAAAGGAGCGGTGGAACGGAGACAAGCAGGAAGATAGATCAACGGGCTGACAGAGGCAGAGAGGGAAGGGGACGGAAAGCAGGGGAGAGGAAAACACCGCAGAGTGGTTAAACCACCACTCCATCCGGACCATTTTGACACACAGAAAGTTGCCTTCCCCCAAGCCTAAAATCTAGTGCCACCACGACGAAAAATATTTGTGGCACCCTTCCCACCAAACCTCTACTAGGCCTGCGCACTGTAGATTTTGGCCCAGTAGTTGTCGACAAGAGAAAGGAACAGTGCAGGGGCCGTTGGAGTGGTCATTTGAGGGGAGAGAGAGAGAGAGAGAGAGAGAGAGAGAGAGAGAGAGAGAGAGAGAGAGAGAGTGACACACATACAGATGAAGACGGGAAGAAATATTCGAAAAAAGAGAAAAGAAAAAAAACAATGGCAGAAATGTTGACAGAAAACTCAGAAGACACCTGTGTCAAGCTGATCCCAACAGACCACTATGAAACTCCGAACGGCAACTTTTTTTTTTTTCGTTTTTCTTTTTTAAAGCTTGATCAAGACAAGTACTAGGTGCCCACAAGCAGAGACTCAAACGGCTCCGCTAGAAAGGACGACAATAAAAATCAACACAATGGGAACGGGGGAGGAACCCATGGAGCCGCATACAGGTTTAAAAAAGAAGAAGGAAAAGAAAAAAGAAGAAGAAAAGACAAAAACAGACAGACCCATCTGTTCCAACTGAGGGCGATCAACACACATTCTTGCTTGGCTCCAAGCCCCTAACTACATGCCTTTCCCAAACTGATACCTTTGCCAGTGGGATTGGTGGCAGGGAAAAGCTACCGACCAAACCATATTTGACATCCCGCCAGGCCTACTAGCATACACCACCACCACCTGCTACCATCCCAGGGCAACCAGATTCTCCAGGCATGGGTTATTCCACTCCAATCTCGTCTTATCTGACCAGAGACTCAGAGAGTTGAGAGAAACGGACATCGACACAACTACACCATCCTAACCATAGGAGACATTTCTGTGACCTGGCCACTGTCCAGGGGTTTCTCTTTCCACTGCCAGTCAATCAAGTCCATTAACGTAGCTGTCGAATTGCGCTGATGCTCGTCATAAACAAGTACCCTGCACGATTGGCAGATGCGACTCCATTGGAGTGCATCCCTTTCCATGGTCACGCCAATACAGTTACACCTCATCCCTGAGGTTGGAGCTGTCGCATTTCCTGCTGTTCCTATCAGAAACGCGTGCAGCAAAAAGAATGCCCAAAAAGAATGCCCAGATACGTCAGTTCCAGCTCGTCAGCCACCAGCTTTCTCTGCTTGCTTTTTTTTTTTTTCACGTAGCGTAGGTGACAAACTGTCAAATTATTTCATGTCACGTAGTGACGAACCAAGATACAAACTGTCATATTACTCCACGTCACATAGAGACGAGTGCCTGCAGCAAAAGGAATGCCCCAAAGGGTACCAGATATGTTAGTTCTGGCTCATCAGCCATCAGCTTTCTCTGCTTCCTTTTCTGGAGCGTAGGTGACAAACTGTCAAATTATTTCATGTCACAGTGCGACACACCAAGCTACGAAACTGTCAAATTATTTTTCATGTCACACAGTGACGACCCAAGATACGAAGCTACAGACTGTAAAATTATTTAATGTCATATAGTGACGAGCCAAGATGCCTGTTCCTGAAAGAGCACACAAGGAGGACCGGAAGCAATGGGATACCCCTGTGAACGGCCAATTTCTTCGGGGGAGTCCTGACCTTTCAGCTGTGCAGAGAGCGAGTTATGAACTGCCAACTTCCCAGATGATGAATCATAAACTTCCAGCTCTTTATTGTGAGGTGAACTCTAATCTGTTAGGGTATACGTAGGGGAGCAGATATCACTATGGGGGGGACAGTGAACTGTGACCAAGAATGGCTCACGCACAAATAGAACCGGGACAGATAAAGGACTGTGTGAATGATCCCCCAATAGGTGAGATTGCAGCGCTTTTATCCCCACGAGTCCCACGACTATACAACCGACGGCTGCCCCAAACGACACGTTAGCAAGTGCTCTCGGCTGACAGGGACCGAACTCCATGGGGCCGAGCATGGGTGTAGAAGTTTGAAGTCATAGCGTTCGAGAATGCCGAGGAAGCAAGAGGAAGAGATGCGATCAGGGAACACAACACAATGGAAGCAGAGAGAGGGAACAGCAGAGAAGGGAGGAATCCGCAGAGCGGAGCAGCGAGGGGAAATTGAGGGAGGAAACGCGGTGGAGAAGCAGTCGTCTGGCTGGACTGAACTGGATGGAGACGAGGACAGGTGTGGAAGTCGGGAAGTCGTAGCATTAGAGAATGCTGAGAAGAGGAGAGACATGTGAAAGGGAAGGCAAGAAGCAGAGAAGAGTGAGTTGCGGAGGAGGAATCCTCTGAAGGGGGCAGCAATGGCAAAGGGAGGAAGGGGGACAACAAAACGGAAAACAAAGAAACAAATGGGTACATCAAGAGGGGTGAACAGTGAGGGCAACACGATGGAGAAGAGAGGAACAGGAGAAGGAGACAACCAACAGCGGCGGAGATGGGCCTCAACTTGCACAATACCCATGAAGACTACATGTGGGAAACAAAAGGCAGAGAGGAAGGAGAGAGCAGCCCTCAAGGGGGATAAAAACATGATGAGGAAAGGATGGGAGGCGATTACGATGGAGGCAAGAATGCTGCAAAAGGCAGGATTGGGCACAGAACTGAGGTCCGAGGAGGTGTCAGCTCAAGGACAAAGACCGGATTGCTGTGAGAGTGAGGAGGTGTCAGCTCAAGGACAAAGACCGGATTGCTGTGAGAGTGAAGGTTGAAGTGGGAAAAAGAACCTTGAAAAAATGCATCAACACGAGTTAGCAAAGTGTGACGCATGATGAGTGTAATGACCCCTCGATCCACCCCCTGACCACAGTCGATAGAGAATGTCCACGAGAGACCATGCTACGCTCTACACGTGTGGTCATCATAGGTACGAAGCGCTAATCAGTACTGATCTACGACATTTCGGGACTACAGAAGCCACTGAAATATTCGGAATTGAAAACAAAAAACAAAAAACAAAAAAAACAAAGAGGACGACACCCCAACATAGTGATCCTGGTAGATTCAATGGGCGTCTCTCCACTACACAACATTCTACACGCATCTGGACAGCATGGTGGATCAGATACATAGTGATTGATCCCACATCTTGAATGCACTGGGACCATTTCCAGGTCTAGATAATCTAGTGGTGTGCAGTGGATCGAGCCCCAATGACACGTTCACAGCACACCTACCTCCGAGATTGGAAAACTCCTCTACGTGATGGCCATGCAGGATATGTATCCCACATCACTGCAATCGAAATATTCTACACGTATCTAAACTGTATTGTGGACTGAATACATTCTGACTGATCCCACATTTGAATGTATTGGGACCATTTTCAGGTCCAGGTATTCTAGTTGTGTGCATGGGACATTCACAGCACATGGACCTCGGACAATGGAAAGCCCCTCTACGTGATAGGAATCCAGCGTACGTATGCCACATATGCATGCCCCCCATCACTGCAACCACAATCACACTCCATTTCTCCTTCTTCTTCTTCTTCTTCTTCTTCTTCTTCTTCTTTTTTAATTTGGACCGTTTCTAGATTTATGAATGTCATCCTTGTGTAGGGGCCATGCTAATCTTCTCTGTCTTGTTCCAATTTTCACGGGTGTCCCGAAGGACATCACACTCCATTTCTGGATTTGCATTGTCGTCAATCTCGAAATCCAATCGACTGCGTGATGATGATGTTCCAAAAGAATGAATGAACACCTTGTCCTATCGTTCGTGCGCAAACCATTTCTCGAACCATCATCGCATTCCCACTGAGCAGGAGGAGGAAGAGTAGGACGTACATTCGCTCCAGCGAGCGAATGAGCCTTTTTTCGTGATCAGTAGAATCCATAGCCTTCTTGGTAGAGAAGTAAAACTGGACGCGAGGGTGGGGAACAGGGGACGATGATTGATGAGAAGGAGAGGCGACTGCACAGGCGGACTATCGTCTTCCCCCAAAAATTAAGGCATGGTAGCTGTATTAGGCCTATTACTATGTTATATATCATACCATATTAGAAGGGTTGATTATGACCCAAAACTTTCGCCCTAACTACCGCCATAATGACCATGCGTTATGTTCGGTGAAAGACGGTAGACCCTGATGTGGCAATAAGTTTATGAAAGAATGGAAGCCATGCTTCGAACCCCCGACGCTGCCAAACGTGCCCCTCCCATTGCTTCTGGACGAGAAGGACGATACGAAGCATCCACGTGTCAGAATCATCCACGTGTCAGAATCATTCTTGTGTCAGAAACATTCTTGTGTCAGAATCATTCACGTGCCAAAACTATCCATGCGTAAGGGTGTGGAAGGTTCATTGGAGTGATTTGGCTTCAGGGAGAAGCATGGCTGCTAGAGAGGCTGAGGGACTGCGGGAATGGCAGGGGGGTGTATATGCAATTGGGCTGGTAGAGGACAGAACAGCGAGCGAGGAAGAGTGCAACCCCAGTCCTGCGTCAAGGAAACAGAGAAAAAGCAGAGGGGGGTTGGTTGGGGGGGGGGGGGGGGGGGGGGGGGGGGGGGGGGGGGGGGGGACGGGAGGTTGTTTAGGCTGAACCTAAAAACGATATTGATCGACAATTGAGGGCTTGGCGTGGGGCGTAGGAGAAGAGGATTGCACGGCAGAAAGGGGCACAATGGGAATTGCAGTAACTGGTCACTGTATGTAAATGCAAGGAGAGCACGGAAATAAGGACAGAGAAGGCAAGCATAGCATTAGCAGCAGATGAGTAGGGTCTGGGTCGAGAGAGGACCAACATGACGCCAAACGTGTGTATGGGTGTGTGTGTGACCGACCAGTTGACGCCAAACGTGTGTATGTGTGCGTGTGTGTGTGGGGCCGTGCCAGACTGTTTCATCGGACTTTCACCAACTCATTAAGAGGCTTCCTAGGGACTCGCCACGGCGCCCAGAGTTCGCTATACCCTTGAGAGAGAAAAGTGGTCGACTTTAGTCACACCAACCCTGCAATACTACCAAACCGTCGCTCCAAGCCCCTGACAAGAATGGCAGTAAGTCTGAGAAACTACCAGACTGTCTGTGTGCGTGCGTGTGCGTGTGTTGTCATGTTCGTTATAGACAACTCCACCAAAAAAGCCTGTCTGTGTGCGTGCGCGTGCGTGTGCGTGTGCTGTCATGTTCGTTATACACAACACCAAAAAAGCATGCCTGTGCGTGTGTGTGTGTGTGTGTGTGTGTGTGTGTGTGTGTGTGTGTGTTTTGTCGTGTTTGATACCAGACTGTTTCGTCGGACTTTCACGGACTCATCAGGAGGTTGCCTCTGTGTGTGTGTGTGTGTGTGTGTGTGTGTGTGTGTGTGTGTGTGTGTGTGTGTGTGTGTGTGTGTTGTCGTATTCGTTATCCACTCAAAAAAAAGGCATGACTGTACCGAACAGACTTTCGTTGGACTTTCACCGACTCATGAGGAGGTTGTGTGTGCACGCGCGTGCGTATGTGCGTGGGTGGATGGGCGCCATTGAAGGCGGAATTACACTTGGCTAAAACACATGTCTATTTCATCATCATTGTTAAATAGAGAAAACAAATCTCCTTTTATCCGCTGAAATCGGTAAAAAAAAGATGGCCTGAGTTTGCCCCCGAATAGAATGGAAGGTACCCCAAGTGCGCAGTTACAGTACCCCAAGTGCGCAGTTACAGTGACCGGGGAAGACTGAAATCAGTCTGAATTTGCACGGTCACTGTAACTGCGCACTTGGGGTACCTTCCATTCTACAGTCTTCCCCCGAACACAACGTACGGTCATTATAGCTGAATTTAGACTGGAAGATACCCCCAATTCAGCTATAATGACCGTACGTTGTATTCGGGGGAAGACTGTAGATACAGCGATAATTACCATGTGTTCTGTTCGGGGAAGACGGTAGACTGGGGCTTCCCACTTCCCGGATATGGACGACGAGACATGGCATGGTGGAAGAATGAAGAAGACGAAGGCCATCGCCAAGGCAGACGGGGAGATGGAACGAGATGGATGACAGAAGAAGAAACAAAAACGAGGCGACAGGAGAAATCAGACGCGCACAAGAATTTTGGGGGAAAAGCGGACGAATGAACACGAGCGATTACGATTGGAAGGACGAAGTTATCCGGCGGCTCCACCAAAAAAAAAAAAAAAAAAAACACGATTGGAAGGACGACCACGGCGATGATGCGCATGATGAGTGGCCATCCTGTTCTCTTCTCATCTACCTCCTCGTTGACTCCTTCCGTTCCTTTGTCTTCCCCTTCATCATCGTCCTCCATGTACCCCCCCCCCTCTCTTCCTGGAGCCCTCCTGTCATCGTCCTCCTCCTTCCTTGGCATCTCTCCCCTGCCTTTCTTTATCTTTGCGTCTCCACCGTTTCTTTTTTCTCGATTGAAAAAAAGGGCGTCTGATTGTATCTGGATCCGACCTTGGGTCTGATTCATATTTCAACAGTTCGTGGGTGTAACGGAACAACTGAGGTACACAGTCCCTTCTAATCAAAAATGCTTCGCATCACTCTTTGCAAATTGTTACTCCATGATGCAGATGACTGGTGGCTTCCTATTCGTCCCCCGCCCAATCGTTTTATAGGTGCAATAATTCATTCCTTTAGTACGCGCCTCCTACAGCCCCATGAGTATCGTGCGGACTTCTTTTGCTTTCTTTGCTAGTTCAATGCTTCTTTCTTTCTTTTCTTTTTTTGTTTCTTTTTTTTTGTCTTGTTTCGTTTTTTTAAATGCTTCTTTCATTTAAACCACCACTACCCCCAAAACCCTGTTTTTTCGGAGCCTGAATTGCACTGCGCGCAGAGTTTTGCCGAGCCTGGGTCCCGTTGTGTTTTCTTTTCTGGTACTCACGGTAGTTGCGTCCAAAAAGAACAACAAAAACAAGACGAAGATGAAGACGAAGACGACGACGAAGAAGAAGACGAAGAAGAAAGTGATAAACAAGAGGCCATAGACTGTCCTTCGTCGCATGCTTCAACAGAAATTTCCATGCTCAACCACACGCACTGAGCTCAGAAGAAACGCGCTCATTGCCCCACGCACGCACGTTTCAGCCAGGAAGCGCACCTGGGACTCATCTTCAAGGGCCTTCTTCTCTGATCCGCCTTCCGGCACCCACCTACTTGTCCCGCCACTGAGCAATGAAGAAGAAACTTCCCTAACGTCGTGATAACCATCCGATGCATTCTATGAGGTGCTAGCGTGACTGTGCCCTCAGTGAGGGCGTCTGTCCGATGAACAAAAGATGAAAAGGGTGAAGGGGAAAAAAAAAGAAAAAAAAAAACTCTATGCTGTGATCGCGGTCTGATACAGGACGCTACAGTACTAGTGTGAGTACGGCGTGAGTGAGGCAGTTACTTGCCCCGCGTCAAAACGCCCTGCCTCGCTGGCAGGGCAGCAAAAGAAAACGACAAGAAGGGGGGAAGGGGAAGAAAAACAGCAATCACGTTCCACACATATTGATCTTCGCGCCACCAGAACGCCCCAGTTCTATAGGATCTTCGCGCAATCTTTCTCCATCTGTTCCTTCGTTTTCAGCTTCGCATGAGCTCCCCCTTCCAAAAAAAACAAAAAAGAAACTTGCGCGACAATGTGTACATACATATAAATATGTCACAGAGAACTGCCCGGTGAACCGTGGGCAGATAAGGGAGAAAAGGGGACAAGCAATCGGGGGGCTGTGACAGACTTTTGTCGGAGCTTCACCGACTAATCACATACATATATGCATTTATACATACACACATACATATACAACAAAAAGGGGGCTGTGACAGCCTGTTTCGCCGGAGTCTCTTGTCCAATCAATCAACCAATCAATCAATCAATCAACCAATCAATCAACCAATCAATCAATCAATCAATTGGTTTGGATTGGGTTGGAATTTCAGTTTGAGCACGCCTGGGTCGGAGTGCCAATGAAGCTGACGTCAACGTTTTCTCTCCTTTTTTTTTTCTTCGTCAATTGGGTTTTCATCTGGGCTTGGTTGGTTCGTTCACATTCGGGAGTTGTGTGACAACGAAGCTGACGTCAACGTTTTCTCTCCTATTTCACTCCGACCCAGGCCATCTCTCCCATCATCACTCCAGAACCTTATAACCACCATCCGTCAACCCCCCCAACCCACCAAACCCCCAGTTTGACAATCCACTCAAGGCCGTCAAACCTGGGGTCAATCAAAACCCCAAAAAAAACAATCCAAACCAATACAATCCACTCACGGCTCTCAATAAACACAGTAGTTGTGTGAGCCAACCAAACGCCCAGTAGTTGTGTGAACCAATCAATGCAAACCCCGCCTCCCCCGAGACAATCAAGCCCCACCAAAAAAACCCAAGTGAAAACGAGCCGACAGCATCAGACGAAGACGCGAGATACAGTAGCCATGGACTTACCCCATCAGGTAAGGAGTAGGTGACGGTGGACTTACCCCATCAGGAAAGGACCAGGTGGGCATCCCGTCAAAGCAGTCCTCGTTTATTTCTTTCCCGGTCCGCTTGATGACGACTTCCTTACCTCCGCCTCCAGCTGCTGTAGCCGGTCAAACAGGCTGCACAAGCAAACGGACAGTCCAAACAACTAAGGAAAAATCCTCCTCTTTTTACTTCTTGTTCAAAAAGGCCCCCCACTGCTCCGAGGCTCATACATACATACGTAATAAATACTAAATCGTTTCATTAGTCATCGGATCTGCTGCAGGCAAACTAGCTCAACACTCGAGAAATTCGCGATTCGTTCTCGGATCCATCTCCACGTTAAGGATCCATACATTTTTACCAACATTGTTATCAACAAGCATCATCGCAAGCATCACAAGGAGTCCCCTCTCTTCGAAAATATACAATATATACATATTCGTATATATACATATATACATATTCGAGGGTTCAGCCACCTGATCAGTCGGTGAAACTCCGACGAAACAGTTTCTCTTCCTCTCTGCCTACGGTTTACCGGGCAGTTCTTTTTGACGATATATATACATATTCGTATATACATATATGCATCGATGTACGCAAGAGGTTTTGAACAGGGGGAGTTGTAAGTAAGAAGATAAAAAATGAATTGATATCTTCCTTGTTTCCTTTTGTTTTTTTTCCGCCTTTATGCTCTGATATCTTTGTGACGATATATGCATCAATCATAACACAGTAATTTGTACTAATTACAAAAATTAAAAGCCGTTGTCAACGAGTGATGATTACGTGTTGTGATGATGATGATGATGATGATGAATATCTGCCGAAGGATTTGGTGTTGTGGCGATGATCATCGTCTGCCAATTAGTATTAGTATTGGACACTGCGCTCTTCTGCCACGCGATGCAATATCAGGCAAAGTGAGAGCTGAGAGATGATCGACGAACATTCAAGCCATCGATTTCGCTTGCCGCAATCCATGCTCAGCTTCTCGGCTGATGTCGTCCGTCGTCTCCACCACATGTTTACCGCCAACCAAGCATCATAGGATTCAATAACAAGAAATTCAAAATATCACTACCCTATCTACTGGGTCGTTGGTTCGTATCCAACCTATTTACGTTGGCTTTTTTTTTTTTTTTTTTTTTTTTTTAATATCGTGTGGTCCGATGGACAACGGATCAGATATTAAACTGATCAGAACAGATACTACACTTTACCTATTTTTAGCCAAAAGGCCGAGAAAGGTATACGTTGGCTTTTGACGAGTATGTTTTTCGTCATTTCAAGACGATTACTGCAACGCGCTGGCGGCTAATGCCGATGTTGATCATGACGATGATGACGATGATGATGATGATGATGATGATGATGATGATGAGAAGCTATATCGGGCAGCAAAATCAAGCCCTGTCTGTTCCGCCGAAGGGCAAAAAGGGGGGAAGGGGGGGGGGAAGCGGGGGCGGAGGAGAGGAACGAGATACATTCGTTCCGCGCGACCAGACAGGGAGCTGGGTGTCCACTCAAAAGCACGAAATTTCTTTCGAATAAAAATTTCGGCGTGAGCACGCTACTTTCCCGCGCCATGGCTTCTGCTTCGCTTCGTCTTCATTCATCTTTTCCTTTCTGACCTTTTTTTTTTTTTTTTTTTTTTTTTTCCCTCAGTTCTGACCACCATAAACATTCGACAACCAAATTTGAGAACTATGTATGGAATCGACACCGTGCCATGACAGTGCGACTGTACCTTTTGGCGGTGTCTGCGACTCTGGGAACGTCGTACGTCTGCCCGACGTACACTCCAAAGACGGTCCCCGTCAGAAAGGCCATAACCGACGGATTAGAGAACACGAGAGTGCCTAGAAGAGTCCCCACAAAGGACCGAATGAACGACATGGCTCCGGTACGCCCTCCCTCTGCTTGTTAACTTAATCTCTCGCCCTCGTCTTTATTTCCCTGTTCCCTCTCGCCTTCGTTGCCTCTTCGACTTGTTTCCTCCTCTCTAATCGTCGCCGGCAACTTCCTGCACTTCCACTTCCCTCCCCTCCCGTTCCTCACTTCCCTCCCTTTGCCACCTTCTCCCCAAAACTCTCTTACCTCACTCTCACTCACTCGCCAGCGCCTTTTCGCACAAACCCCACCATCGCCGCCTGCGCAGGAGCAGCATTCACGCAACGACCCTGCACACGACGGAGCACAGTGGCGCATCCTGGCGCGCACCCGCCCACTGCAATCCGCCGACTCCACAGCCATTGCTCTGGCTTCGACTGAGCTGTCATGAGCCGCTTCCCGCAGCACTTCGCGGTCTTCTGCTTTGCGGGCCAGCGGTCCCGCCATGCCCCAGCCTCTTTTTTTCTACCATCCGTCTAAGATCAGGACGGTTCGCAGCCCTTCAGGGGTGCGTTTTATGCCCCTGAGAACATTTTTCTTGGGTCGTGAGAAGGCCAGAAAAACAAGGCATGGCAGTTTAGGGGGTGGTGGCATCTTATTTGAAACTGCAGGACCGGTTGCTGCCGGTGGGACCGCACGGGTTTTGGTCCAGGACCGCGTAGGGCAGCTACCGCGTAGGACCGGTAGCTGCCCGTAGGAGGCCGAGGCGGCCGCAGTCCTTTTTCGAAATTGAAACGGTGCGGGTCCACTTTTCTCGACGAATAGCAGAGTTTCTCGAATAGAAAAAGTATTGTCTACCGCGTGGGCGCGGGGAACGCAGCCCTAACTAAGGTAGCCAAATCAATGAGACTAAGAGCTAACACAAGAGAGAGAGAGCGAGAGAGAGAGAGAGAGAGAGAGAGAGAGAGAGAGAGAGAGAGAGAGAGAGAGAGAGAAAAAAAAAGTATTGTCTACCGCGTGGGCGCGGGGAAC